TATGAAAAATTTAATTTGAATTTTTCTCTCGTTTACTTTTCGAATCTCGTTCAAAATAAGCCTTTAGTCTATATTGTTCGGGTGCAATAGAGACTGTCTCAATTCAAAAACAAAGATGATAAATAACAACTGCTCATTTCTTTGCGCAAGCTTCTGTAGAAGTTTTGAGATATATTGTTGTGAGTTTTCTCTTGGAAAACCAGCCCAACGACTCGAAATAGCATTTCGCGTCATATCTCATAAAATCAACTTGGAGAATGTTGTTTTCACTTCTTTATTGATATCAAGAAAACAGAAAATTTTCTTCTTGTCAGTTCAGTTTTTAGTTGTAGCACTGGAATTTCGCTTGTATCCATCAATGAAAATCGTGCCACGCACTCTATTGAATGGTAATTCAGTTAGGTTCAGATGATTGATTCGTTTTGTTCAGCGATTCGATCATAATCTGAATTACATCATCGAGTGTTGTACCGCGTTCTCGTTCTTCGTTTATCTCATTTCCAAGCGGAGTTTGTTCGGCTACAAATCGATATGTATCTGCAGCGCCATCGAAAATCTTCGGCGATAAACCGATACTTTCATAGGTCTTGGTGATTTTATTCATTTCCGTTATCCATCGTGCTGCTCTTGGTGATACGTTTGGAATGATTTTGCTGATAGTGTTGAATAGATGCGGTTGGGTTTGTTTCAGTTGATTGAAAAAGATTTCGCCGACACCGAGAGATCGAGCGGCAATACAAGCCTGAATAGCAATAGCTGCCATGCCTTTGATTATTGATGCTTCACATATTTTGAGACTGCTAGCTTGACCAATGTTCGGGCCGGCTGCACGCGTATTGACCAAATCTGTACTCTGAAATAGATCAACCAGCCTTTGTGCATGTCTACCGGAGAAATAAATCGATGGGATATATTCTGCTAGACGTGGCGGTAGACCAATAATGCATCCGTCGACGAAATTTCCGTGAGGAAAGAGTGTCGCTATTGATTCAATCGTTTGCGGAGCAATAGCATTCAAATCGACGTAGAGTTTGCGTTCATCATTGGCAAGATATGCAGCAAAACGTTGAGCAAGTGACTCGACGTTCGATGGAGCTACTATCGAAAGAATGATATCTGCTTGACGAACCAATTCGTCATCGGTTTGAACATCGATTATATTTGCTGAGTTAGACAATTTTTGAGTACGTTCACTACGTCCTGTCAAATTGGTAATCACCCGAAATCGTTGCTGTTTATCGGCAAGTAGAATTCGACCGATTGCGTGACCCTAAAAACAAGAAGACTATGCAAATGATTCGATAGATTCTTCATATTTTACCATATCTCCAGGGCTCATAATGGCAATCGTTATTGTCGATGTTTGTTGTTCTTTCATCATGTGCCGTTGTGACTACCTATCAGTCTTTTTTGCGTGTCCTTATACCACTCTGCACGCGTAAGCTGATATGTGTCGAATATTTGCGTTCGTGTTTTTTTGTTTATGTCATTATAAAAGATGCGTGTAGAGGTGATAAGCATCCATCCATGGTGAGCTGTTTCAATTTGCTTCGCATTTCGCAACACAAACGAAAAGTATATCAACGAACGCACTATTTTACCATGTTCTGAACATTGATGCGTAATAATATGAAGATTCGGAGAAGATCATTGATCTGTTCTTTTACAGCATATTCGTTCTCGCGAAATTCATGATCAGTTGAGATTTTGCATGTTATAGAAGAAGAAATTCAAATATGAATAGTACTTAGATCATAGACAGCAAACCAAAATAGTAAAATTTCTTTCAACAAGTTATTTAAATAGCACATTTTGGAAATCGATCGTAAAGTGAAGGAAATAAATTGATCATTATTGCTGTTTTCAAGATTATTAGTGTAAAATAATGAGGTCAGAGAAGGAACACTAGCAAAACGAAAGAACTTTTCATTCATATATGAGTGTTGTCACACTTCATAAACCAAGATTTTATTGTTTTTTAGCCAGAGAAAAAAGTAGTGAATGATTTCGTCACAATTCCTGCTTTGAGCTTTTTCAAAAAGTTCAATTAGATAGCCAAGTAGACCATACTCTACAAAGAAAGCCAATTCGAAACAAACAGGTGCAGCGATATCAATAAAAACCTATTCACTTAATATTCAAACTCAAAGATTGATAACAATATCCATAAATCTTCAAAAGAAGCGTTAGATAAAAAATATTTAATGGAAATCAATTGAAAATAATCAAAAATGCATAAAAAATTAAATTATCAACCACTTAACTACGGTCAGAAACTATGAATAAATACGAGAACAGCCTTTCGACAATATTTCGACTGCTGATGTAAAACGCATCATGGTAGTATCCATCTACACAGCTCATTCAAGCACTAGAATGAATTAGTGGAGGCACATATCTAAAAAACCTGGTACAAAACTCATCAGCCAGCTTAAGTTCCAATTTGGCTATAATAGAACAGACAGAATGCGAGAACCATCAAATTTATAACTGGGAAGTTATAGAATTTACTATGGAAGTCACACTATTTTATCATCAAAATGATCATCACAAAAAAATTCTACAAAGCCTAAAAGTTCCGTCTAATTCGAAGATTGTGTCTATAACAGTGAGAAGATGCTGGCACAATCATTCAGCTTAAAAACTAGTCCACTGTCAATAACTTGTGTCGGATTGTTCAGTAGCCGACTGTATAGAGGTGGACTTCTAGTCTTATGAAGGGTGTGGGTGTGAGTACTATCTTCAATATACCCACACCCACACCCCGCTGTGGGAAAGTATCGGATCCGATACGATTCTGCTAGATTTCTGTCAGTGAACCAAATATTACCTGCACCATGAATGCCTCGCTCATCAGTTGTTTACTTTATACATGAAACATATATCGGGTTGATTAGTCTGACCAGATGTCCCAGTTCGTTTTTGATTATGGTGTTTCTATAATGTGTCAGATATATAAGAATTTTTCTATCAGTTATAATATTTCACGAGTACTATAACTGATAGAAAAACTCCTATATATCTGGCACATTATAGAAACAACATAAGCAAAAAGAGTTGGGGCAGCCGACCAGACTTATCAGCACCGTTCCATGTCGTTCGAATCGGCCCTAAATAACACAAACTGTTTTCTTTTTGATAAAATAATACTTGCGTTTCCTTTCGATGTCGAGATTACTCTAAAATAAAGAAAAGAATTTCTTTAATTAAATAAAGTATTTACTGTTCAATATGGATGTACCAATTGACCTAAAATAAAGAAAAAAACTTTATTTAATTAAATGAAATAGTTACTGTTCCCTTTGGATGTACCAATTGAGCTAAAATAAACAAAAAAAAATTTATTTAATTAAATAAAATACTTACTCTTCCTTTCGATGTCGAGACAATCTAAATGAAGGAAAAAATTTATTTTTTTTTGAAATAAATACTTATTATTCAGATTGAAACTTTGGATGAAAAATCTAAGTGAACAATATATAAAACAAATAAGACCAATTTTTTAAGCTTTTATTTCATATACATTTTGCAAATTAGAATAGGCAAAATTAGATGTTTTCATGTCATCAGTTTCATCGGATCCGACGATTTCCGATAGTATCGAATCCCGTAGGATCCGATCGGATGAGTTCGATCTGGGGAGACACGAAAAAAAGAGAGAGAAGAAGAACAAAGAGAATGACAAGAAGATAACAGACATTGAACACAAAATACGATCTAATACAAACGACACACATCATACTGAAACAAATCTTATCGAAAGTTTATTATTATGATATTAGTTTAGGTATCATCAAATAGCATAGAAAAATAGAGCTTCCTATAAGGAATTACGATACCTCTGTCATTACTTTTGGACTGACCTAAGTATTTAAAGTATATTTTTTTTTATACATTTTGTGAAATACAATAGAAAATGAGTGTTGAAGTTGTAGAGCGAGAAAGTTAGACTTTCTACGAGACGGTGACAGACATGTCAAAATCCCATATTATAGTTTTTCGAACTATTCAATTTTGAATTTTTGAATTTTTGGATCTGCGATTTCTGTGTTTCTAGATCCAAAATTCAAAAAATCCTATTTTTCTCTGATAATGTGGTATATTAACAATCGTATTCATGTGAAATAAATCCATCGTGTTTCACATTTTAATAACGTAGGGATTACCCTGAAAGATTTTTCTTTTAATTACAGACTAACTCTATAAAAAGTGTGTTGGAAGTGTGGAACTCTTCGTTATCAATAAAGAATAAATTAAGAAATGTATTTTTGGAAAAAGCGTGTTCACATTATTGTTGATAAGCAATCTTTGTCTGGTTCACGTTACTGTCTTGAAATGTTCAAATCTTGTTAATGTTATTCACTACTAAGACGATGATCTTCGGACCTAGGGTGTGTGATTCTCGTTTTGTTGATTGACTTAAACAGTTACAATAAATATGACAAGCAATAGAGACAATAGAAGAGATTCCATAAATTACTGAGTATGTGTCAGAGTCCAGTGGTAAAATTCACGTCATCTTGAATGATGTCTAGCATCTACCATGGCCACATAGTCAGTCATTGTGCCACGCTCCTGCTCAGACAGAATTGTGTGCGTCAAAACTCTTCAGAATATTAAAAGCAAGCATACTATTGTTATATTTGATGTTATCTCAATTGCATTTTTGATAGTGGAATAAATTTTAGCTTTTGAGACAAATTTCAGGAGATATGTATCACTGAGCCATCCATCGTTACAGATAATGGCAGACAGCTAGAGAAAGGATATTTCTCGTAGACGTAATTATCTTTGCTTGAATAAATATTTTTTTCTCATTTGTTTCCGTTTTAAAATTAAAGTTTTCGGCATCCGATAGCAGAGAAATGCAAAATAGTCGAAAGTTTCACTGGAAAAAATGACCAAGTGCTGAGCAAGCACATATCAATGTTTTGTACGTATCGAATAAAAAGTGAAAATTGTACCACTATCAATATAACTGAATCTCGAAAGAAGATGACGTTCTAATTCTACCATACTCAGCATTCAAAATAACAACGACAAAACAAACTGCAATGATGGCTTGAAAAAGATCTAGAACACTGTGATGCAGTACAATTATGTACTACAGTAATTGATCAAAAGAAATTATCTTCTGCTTGACATTCTGTTTTTTCGGTTTAACAAACTACTCCAACCAAGATATAAATCGATTTAAAAAAATCAAAAATAAACTCTCAGTCGTAAAAAATCTTGTTGGTGGATAGAGTTTTTAAAGTTTATATTCAGCTTTTCTCCACATTGGAAGAATAGGATCTATAAGTGATAAATAAATTCTTTTTGTCTTTATGTCTGCTTATATCATGCTTGTTGAATTTGAAACTTGAATTCAATTATTGAATACTTGAAGTGACTACCTTAATTTAAGTCCCAAGTTTGACACTATTGTAGGATGTTGAAGGAGGATAAATGAAAATAAAAAGATTCATTGAAGACAAGATGATCATGCCTATGGGAAATAATTTTTCTTTTGTGTACAACAGATTTTTACTAGGTCTCTTTTAATTTTGTATTTCATGTGCAGTAGATATGCTTCAATAACATCCTTTAGCTTTTTTTTTTGACTGTTTCTTCATCATTAAACACTCATCACATATATCTAAAATGACAGAGCGCATTAATATGAAAAGATTAATTATATGTGAAATCTCTAGAACTCATTTGCATAATATTTTAGTCAAACACATAGGTTGAGGATGATGATGACAATGAGAGTGACAGAGAAGAAAAGAGAATGAAAAGTGTCCCCTACGCCATTAATTGGTCGCCGAATGCGAATTCAAATTTTCTTTATCGCTTTTCTCAACAAAGAAAAGTCTTTTGCCAAGAAATTGGCTATCATTCAAAGTCTTGTCCAAATGAGAAAAGTTACTTAAACCAAAACTTACGGTATTTCGTCAAAAATAGTACAGTTTTTGGCTACTTTTAGTTAAACTATCTTGAGATAACAGATCGCTGCTGTAGAGTTGTGTTATTAGTTGGGAATTTTCGATCTCGCTCCTGTTTCTGCTGCTGAATGATCGGTTTAAAAGCATTTGAGCTTAATAACAAATCAACAAAGACTGATCGATTGATTAAGTTGTTTTTATTTGATTAATGGAAATTATCGAAGAAATCATTTCTGTCTATTCAGATTTCTACTAATTTTCATCAGGAGTTGCAATATGGTAGTGATTTAGATCAATATCTTTCTCAAAGAATGAATATATGATCTCTCGTTGTATAGCATAAAGGTGGATGGAAGTGAGAGTGAAGTGTAGAGTGGGTGGGTGGGTGGGTGTAGGTCTGAATAAAAATACATAAACTGCTCACACTCACTTATCCTCAAGAAAACAATGAAAC